ATATTGGGCTCTTTGTGAACTTTGGGCCATGAATCCAAAAGTCGGAATGAGAACTCTTTTTGGTTTGAGTTTCTGGGCTTCAGAGCCTCCCAGGTTTCTTGGGCTTCATAATGGGGTTTAGGGTTTAGGGTTCAGGGTTTAGGGTTCTGGGTTTAGGGTTTAGGGTTTGCCTCCTTTTCTTGGGCTTCATCATAGGGTCCTTAAGGGGCGGGGGCTCAGCGGGGGTAGGTAACGAAGGAACCTGAGGGAAGCTCAGGGGAGGAGGTGGAAGTATTAGGGGACCTAAGCTCCAAACCCCAGACCCCAGACCCCAGACCCCAAACCCTAAACCCTAAACCCTCAACCCTATATCAACCCTAAACCCTAAACCCTAAACCCTAAACCCTAAACCCTAAACCCTAAACCCTAAACCCTAAACCAGAACTTCAGGATGCAGTCCAGCGTTTAGGGTTGAGGCTCTGGAGCTTTCAAAGGTTTCAGGGCATGTAGGTGGTTTAGGGTTTAGGGTCAGGGTTTAGGGTTTAGGGTTTAGGGTCTAGGGTTTAGGGTTTAGGGTTTAGGGTTTAGGGTTTAGGGTTTAGGGTTTAGGGTTTAGGCCGGGTTTAGGGTTTAGGGTCCGTAGCTTCCCAAGCAGTGGGACGTTGGGGAGGTCGGGTTGAGATGGGTAGAGCAAACTCGGTTTCTTTAGTGGAGCCCTAAAGTCCCCACTCCCAAGGGCCTCAACCCGTCTTGAGAGCTGTTACAGGGTTTAGGGTTTAGGGTTTAGGGTTTGGGGTTTAGGGTTTAGGGATTTAGGGATTTAGGGATTTGGGATTTTGGGACCTCAGGGAAGCCTAGGCCCTGAACCCTACAGGCTCGACACGGTGAGTTCTCTAAATCAGGGTCCCCTTTTTTGGGTACCCTCCAGAAGAGGGGCAGCCTTTTAATAAGGACCCCAAAAGGGACCATATTTTACAGAAGTGATCTTGCGTTTTGGAGTGCTGCAAACGGCCGAAAACAAGAGCTTCCTTACGCTCAGAGACAGGACTTGCGGTTTAGGGTTTTGGGGTTTGCCGAGACACTTTGGAGCTTCCGAAAAGGGCTCGTTTGGAAGGCCAGGCGTTACCTGACTCTCCCTGTTTGCTCCCGATGATTGTTGTTGCCCTAAACCCTAAACCCAAAACGCTAACATGTGTCTATGATCTTGTAGGCGCATTCGCCCTCTACCCTGGAAACTCCAAACCCTGAACTCTTAGGGTTTAGGGTTTAGGGTTTAGGGTTTAGGGTTTAGGGTTTAGGGTTAGGGTTTAGGGTTTAGGGCAAGCACTAAAGCCCAAACCTAAGCCTGACAGGAGCTGACAGACTTGTACATACCCGTGGACTACAACCGCCAGCTTTTCCACCGGGCAAAGAGTCCTGAAGGTTGAGGGGGATTGAGGGTTTAGGGCTTCGGACCCTAGACTAAACCCGAAACCCGAAACCCGAAACCTTAAACCCTAAACCCTAAACCCTAAACCCTAAACCCTAAACCCTAAACCCTAAACCCTAAACCCTAAGCCGGAAACCCTAAACCCTAAACCCTAAACCCTAAACCCTAAACCCTAAACCCTAAACCCTAAACCCTAAACCCTAAACCCTAAACCCTAAACCCTAAACCCTAAACCCTAAACCCTACGCCCCAAACCCAGCCAAACAGCAACTTCTAAGCTACACAATAAACCTTTGTCATAGTTGAGTACCATTTACATTTTTACGGGTACTTAAACCCAATAAGGGATATACATTTAAATTTTGAACACGATCCCAACCATGAACTAGTAGACAGCTCGAATCAGATGCTCTAGGTTGTTCTTCCGCAAGGCTTGTATCAGTGTCGAGCCAGGTTGAGGGATTTCGGGCCTGGGATTTTTGTTGGGTTCCCCCAAGTGCTCTCAGGGTGATCGCCCTTACTGCAACACTTAATCTTTGAGAAACCAAATAGCTACGGCCCTTGTCAGGGTAAAACCTACCTCAGGGTACATGTAGCCCCATGTATTACTGCACTTACACTCCCCCCTTCGTCCTCTAAGTAGGCTATAAGTAGACTTATACTGGATTCAAGATGCCTTTTCGGGACTCTTTCCTGCGCCCGCCCCCCGCAAGACGCGGGTGAGGTTGGCCAGCACATGGTTTCTGTGAATGGGTGGAGATCCCGTCTAAAGCTGAACCCTAAACCCTAAACCCTAAACCCCAAACCCTAAACCCTAAACCCTAAAGCCCTAGAGGCGAAGCCCTCATCCCTACAAGAGCCCAAGGCAAGACAGCCCAACGCCCCCCAGGGCCCACAGGAACTCTCCACCCCGTTCTTGTAGGCGGCACGTAGACCGTACTTGAAGGTTCATGGTACTTATAACCCAACTTATAGGGTTTAGGGTTTAGGGTTTAGGGTTTAGGATACCTGTACTTATAGCCATATTAGGGCACTTAAGGGGCTTATAAGAGGGTTATAAGTACAGCTATAAGTGGTTACTAAGTACCATGAACCTCCAAGTAGACCCGGCAGCAAGTGTGAACGCCCCTGTCCGACACATACTAAGCCTTGCGTCGAGTGCACGCAAATAAAAAACAAACCCGCAGCTTCCACCTTGCGTCAAGGACACGCAAGTGGAGTGCGCCGTCCAATCGGAGAGGTCTGGTTGTGTATATAAGTGGGTATCGAGACGGTCTGGTTATAAGGGTTTAGGAAAACCCTAAACCCGAAACCCTAAACCCTAAACCCTAAACCCTAAACCCTAAACCCTAAACCCTAAACCCTAAACCCTAAACCCTAAACCCTAAACCCTAAACCCTAAACCCTAAACCCTAAACCCTAAACCCTAAACCTAAACCCTAAACCCTAAACCCTAAACCCTAAACCCTAAACCCTAAACCCGAAACCCTAAACCCTCTCCTGGCGTGGGAACGGCTGCCCTCAATCTGTCTTTCTTGGAAACACGCTGCGGTTGCCACGTGAATTTCGGGGCCGACGCCATCCCCCCCATTCAATCCATACTAGAACTACAATTCAGAGTTTTACTAGTTAAACTACACGAAAGACATGAAACAATCACTTGATACAAGCAACCATACAAGGGCGACCAACTGACCACTTAACGCAAGCAAAGGCAAGCAACCGACCACTTGAATCAAAAACACAAGCAACCAACCGACGGCTTGACACAAGAGTGTTTATGAGCTTTAGACCCCTTGACCCGTACAAATTAGACATGAACCCAGCAACTAGGAGTTTAGACTAAACCCTAAATCCCCTCAACCCATTCACCCAGGAACTGGGTGTGTTGCCTAACCCCAAACCACCAACCCGCAACTTACTTGCAAGTTCTGATTCAATCTCAAGCCCTGGATTACAAAAGGAGTATGGACTAACACCCAAGCCTCCTCAAGCCGAACAATAGCATACAATAGCTCAGGAGTCTTGTTGACGTCTAAACCTCTGAACGCACAAACAGAGCTGCGAGTTTTGACTAAACCACCAAACCTTAAAGCCCCAAACCAAGTAACTAGGAGCTCTGACTATTCCCCATAACCCATGCAGCCATTGGGAGTTTTGACTGGACCCCAAACCCTCTGAACGCATACAGTAATCAGGAGAACCCCCCTCCAAAACCGCCTTAACCCATACAGCGACGAGGAGTTCGGACGAAACACCAAGGCCCGCGCACCCACGCGGTAATGAGGGGGTGTACTAAACCGAAAACCCCAACCAGCAACTCGGAGTGTTGACGACGCTAGACCCTCAATCCTCAGCCCTCAACCCTCAACCCTCAACCCTCAACCCTCAACCCTCAACCCTAAACCCTAAACCTCCTGGTCTCAGTAGCGGGCCTGGAGCGTGGCGTGCCCTACATTTTGAACAGAGCCCAGGCTGTGGGACGTGTAACGGGTTTAAACCCTAAACCCTAGGGTTTAGGGTTTATGGTCTAGGGTTTAGGGTTTCGGTTTTAGGGTTCAGGGTTGAGGGTTTAGGTTTTAGTGTGTAGGGTTCAGGGCCCTAAACTCGAAGGCCATAAACCCTGTAAAGCCCTAACCTCGACACCCTAAGCCCAATTCTCTCAGGCACCTAGTCGCTCAAGAAATTGCCACTTTGCTTCTTAGAAGCGAGTGATGTATCGCGGTGATGCTGCTCAAGCAAACAGGATTGAGGTAGTTGATGGCCGGTGCCATCCTTGACTTCTTGAAGGTCATCCATTCTGGGGCCACAACAAACCTCTGGGGCTTGGGCTGTCCAGTTTACTGTACTAGCCCTGCACTTGGAGGATACTTGGCCTGTTTCCTGGCAGGGTTCATCATCGGAGCTGTCTTGGTCGCTTGGATCTTCCTGCAAATTCTCCACCCGAGGTTTGCGCATTCTGAAAGGCCACGCACTGCTGATTACACTCCTGCTCAGCAACCGGAGCGCCGTCGCTCCGCAAGGTTAGAGGGCTACACCCTCCCGCACGGGTGAGGAGCAGCCTGCCTCTTGGGATCTTTCGGTTCAGTTAGAAGGGCTGTCCTTTAGGCTAGGGGTCATAGGGTTGTTCCGTGCCGTCGTTGGCCACCACCCAGCTCCCTTGCCTTCATTGCTGCTTCTCCGGCCTCGTCCCTAACCCGTGTGCAGCCGCCTAGGGCGTCCAGTGTCCAGGCTGGCCCTCCTGAACCCTCGTCCTCCCCGGGAAGCAGCCTCTTCTCACCAGCCTCAGCTACTGCCTTTGCGCAAAAGCCTAGTGTGCAGTGGCCTCCTCCTCAGCCCTGCCTGTGCCAGAGTACCCTTTGCACCGGTCAGGTCCTTCCCTGACCTCTGCCAGCGGCAACTTGTACTCTCCCTCGCCTCTGGTTCGGTTGTAGGGTGTTTGGTTTTTGCGGTTCTTGAGGGTGGGGTTGTTAGGCCAGACCCATTTGCTTGCATCAACCTCTCCGGTTTCTCACGGCTCCACCTGGACATCTAAGTGCAGAGTGCTCTTTGCAGGCCCGGCTGAGCTACCCTTCAGCTTTGACCGGCTGATATGGACTTGACCTCACTTACCGCAGCCGAAGAAGGCACAGTTGAGATCCTTGAGTGGACTTGGCCTCCTGAGGCTTTAGGCCAAGAAAGCTTTCGATGTCTCTCCTATGTTATCATGAAGCGGCCCTCTGGGTTCTTGTTATGTGTGCCAGAGGGCTTTTTGTCGGCGGAGGAGCTGGAGTCCGGGATGCAAGCTGTCGAGGCAGAGAGCATTGGCCCTTCCATGACTTTCGTAGCGCCGCCCATCCAGCTTACAGAGTCGGGCGAGTGGGTCCCGCCTCAAGAAGTAGAGATGGTCCCGGTTTTGGTGGTAGATCTAGGGGTTCAGGTGACCGAAAGCTTGGCCCCAGCAGATCTTACGCACCCAGATGTGATCGCGTTCAGGGAAGGGGATTCCTCCATCTTCCCCCTGGCCTCGGAGGTGGTCCGTCTTGCCAAAGAGTGGTTAGCAGCTTCGGATGTCATGCCAGGCGACCGATCTGGATACCAAACCGCAGTTTCTGCAGTGGAAGAAGCCCTGCCTGCTCCAGCAAAAGCAAAGGCTCCCAAGGCAAAAAGACCCACCGTGCAACAACTCGCCGCGCAACAGGCAAGAATGATGGAGCTCATGGCATCAGTGGTGAACCGTTTGGATGCCCTTGGTCCCGGCGGCGAGCCCCATGCACCGGCTCAACCGAGCCCTGTAGTTCCACAAGCTGCCTTGCCCCACGCTGCCTTGCAAGCCCCGGTGTCTGCTGTTCTGCCTCCCTTTCAAGCCCAGCCCAAAGGTCTTGCAGCTGTTCTAGGCCCCCCTCCTCCAGTACGGGCTCAACCCACAGCGTCCAAAGAGCAGAAGGACCTGGACCTGCTCCTAAACCCAGAGGGCACCTTGCCTACACCCGAAGGCCAAGCCAGTGGCTCTCTGACGTCAGCTGTCCTGGCCCAATCCCAGGCGCTTGTGGCTCTAGTCGGGCAGCTTTCCGCGGGGGCCTCAGACCCCCTTCTGGAAGCCCAGCCAGGGCAAGCTTCCTCGGTACGAGGTTCGATAGGAAGGGCAAAGCTTCAGCAAGAGCTGTCTGCCAGGACAGGCAGTTTCGCCACCAAGGTGAGGGAGAACATGGAGCGGAGGATGGACCCCACAGGCCTTCTGCCCACCGAGCAAGTAAGCTTCATGCGCTACCTGGAGCGCCACGGGGGGTTCGCTGCGCAACCTTTGCTGGGTCTCATAGCGTGGCAAGTCGCGCAAGCGCTAGATTTGCTCCGCCTTGGGTCTCAGGAGGGTGCCCGAGACGTCCTGTCTCTACTTCTTGTGATGTTGGACCAGTGCGCGCAAGACCAAGGGGAGTCCAGCCTTGCGTGGCTCCTCACACTGCAAAGCGATCCCCCGTTGGGGATATTCCAACCTCCCGCACAGCTGCCCGGCTCTACGCTCCAGACTTTCTCCCCACTAGCAGACCAGCGATGGATCACTGTCTCTTTGGCGTATGTCAAGGAGTTAGAGACTATCGCTGCCCGGAAAGTAGAAGCAAGTCCTACCAAGACCCAGCCTGCCATGCGCCAGCTTCCAAAACAGCCTTCCATTCCTCTGCCGCACGCGCCAGGTTCTTCAGACAACCCAGACGGGCACCTTTCGAAAAAGCAGCAGAGGGCCGCCCAATGGGCCGCTGCAAAGAAGGCGGCCTCCGCAGCAAACCCCAAGAAGTGATTGCCAGGGATGCCCCCAGCGCCGCTTTTGAAGGCGCCGGAGGAATCTCCTCGTCTTGCCATTTGAAAAATGCTCATTCTGTTTCTGCTTCTTCAGCACCGAGCTCCAGCCTCAATCCCTGCATGCCCCCAGCTCACAGCAAGCCACGCTCCGAGGATGTACCGGCCGCACCCGAGGGCCGTCCCTCCAATCCCGCTGCCGACGTTTTCCCTTTGGAGGGTGTTACCTTCGCTGTCGACGCTGAGTTCACCTTTTGCTCATGGGTCTCCTCTGTCCCTCGCCTACTTCGAGATGCAAGGACCCAGTTTGCTCACTTTCTTGTTTCAACTTTGGCTCTGTGCCGGGATGACAGCCTGTCTCCCTCTACCGCTCTCTTTCCGCTGCCTCTCCTTCGCCCGAAGGTCTTCGATCAGCGACCCTGCCGGGGAGCTTCAGCTCACTTGCGCTTGAGTGTCCAAAGGTGTGTTCACCTGGTTGCAATGGCCCTCAACTACGTGCATGCTGGGTGTAAGCCAGTTTCTTTGCTCTCCCTGCAGAGGCCCCTATCCCCTTTTCAGGTCCAGGCCTATGACCGGATAGGTGTGCTCGTCAGAGCGTGTGAAGCTAGGAGTGTTCCTTCTTGTGCCGGCCGACGTGGCCTTCACACTGCTGCTAGGCTGTCTGAGGTCATCCAGTTTCTGGGCCGTTCTGGCCTTGTGACAGGGTCTTACTCCGACCTTGCGTTTCCGCCTGAAGGTGATGGTTTCGTGCCGCACGTCAAGAAGGGCCCGGAAGCACTGAACCCTTATGGTGACATTAAAGCCGATGCTGTTGCCCTGCATGGCAAGGGGGAGTGGAATCTTGCTGCGCACCTCGGCCCTGAGTTGCTTTTGCCCTATCTTGAGCCCGAAGTCATGCAATTTGAAGGCACGGGAGGGCCGTGTGCCAGTTTCGAGAAAGAGGATCCAGAAATCCTTGGCCTTTGCAAGCTCTGGGACGCCTCCGGCCTCCTTGGCATCACCGCCGGCCCCCTGCCCGAGCGCAAGCTCACACGTATCTTCGGGGCTTTCAAGGCGCCAGGCAAACAACGTCAGATAGGTGACAGGCGGGGACAGAACTCCCTTGAAGGGCGTCTTCTTGGACCCTCCAGATTTCTGCCAACCGGCCCCTTGCTAGCCCGCGTGCATGTGCCCAAAGGTTGCTGCCTGGTCGGCTCCGTCACCGACAGACGGGACTTTTATACCCAGGCACGCGTCAGCGAGGAGCGCGCCGTCACAAACGCCATAGGCCCTGCGTTCAGGCTAGGCGCCTTCAAGGGGACCAATGCCTACTCGGCCTTCCTCCTCAAAAGTGCGCAAGATCGCAGGCAACCTCGGGGGAAGGGACACTTTCTCGGTGAGCCCCCGCCAGCCCTGCTGGTAAACGACAAAAGTTGGGTTCACCCAACTTTCAAGGCGCTGCTCCAAGGCGATGCCGGAGGAGTAGAGTACGCCACCGCGGCGCACGAAGATCTGCTTCAGCACTGTGGATGCCTCCAGGCGCGGGGCCGCCTGGAGAACAAAAGACCTGTTGCTCCTGCGGGGCCATGGGACGGGCTGATAATAGACGACTACTTCAGCCTCTCTGTTGAAGACCGGTGTTTCCAGCCCGGGTCGGAGTCAGCCTCCTCTCTTCTCATCGCACAGGCCAAAAGCGGCTATGCGGATGAGGCTGTCTTAGGCTCTGAGGATAAAGATGTCATCAGTCAGCGCGTTTTCAAGGTGGCAGGAGCCGAGGTCATCTCTGACCCCCATGCCACCCGTGATGGGGTTGCTTTAGTTGGTTTCCCTGTTGAGAAGAGGCTCGCGCTTGCAGCAGCTTCCCTTCGGGCCGCGCAGTGTGCCGGTATCTCAGAAGAACTCGCCTCTATGCTCAGTGGTTCGTGGGTTGCCTGCCTCATGTACCGTAGGGGTCTCATGTCCGTGCTCGACGGCCTATTTGGACTAGGCAGGACCTCTTCAGCTGGATCCTCCGAAGGTAGCCAAATAAAGCCCCTCCCCAGGAAGATTGCCTCCGAGCTTCAGGTCCTCGCGTTGCTTGCGCCAGTTGCGTGTTCTAACCTCTCGGCCGGCGTCTGGCCCGACGTCTTTGCTTCCGATGCTTCGATTGCCAAAGGTGCATTCTGTGCCACCCCGTGCGATTCTGGGCTCGGACTTGACCTCTGGCTTGCCGCCGACTTCAAAGGACACGCTGCCTATCTTGACGGAAGGTCCACCCTGCGCCATTCATCCCACAGGCCCCGGGCCTTTCAGACGATCTTGAAGAAGATAGACAAGCTCCCGACGTTCTCAGTCCCGAATGTCCTGTCGCCTATGTTGAGAAGCCGCTCGCTTGCTGCTACGACTTCTTGGAGATCTGTGGAGGTACTGGTGAGGTTTCAAAGGCCCTGCGGCGGCGAGGTTTCCGACCGGGGCCTGTCATCGACCTGTCAAGGTCTCCGCACTTCGACCTGTCATCTAGGCATGTTGTTGAATGGGTCGCTTTCTTGATCGCTGAGGGCAGGCTCAAGTCGGTTATGCTGGAGCCCCCTTGCGCCTCTTTCTCCCCTGCAGATTGGCCAGCCGTTCGCAGCTACAGTTGCCCGTTGGGTTTTGACCGTGCTGAGAAAAAGACACTTAGCGGCAATGTCATCGCGTTGAACTGCCTCCTCCTCTTCAGTATCGCGGTTAGGCATGCTGTTCCGGCTCTTCTCGAACAACCGCGTTCTTCAAGGATGCGCTGGCTTCCTGTTTGGCGTTGGTTGCTTTCTTTCGCTGGGGTCCAGGAGAGCTGGCTAGCAAGCTGCGCGTACGGCTGCCGTCACCGCAAGGAATTTGCCCTCCTAGCGTTCGGGGTTGACCTAGGTCTCATTCACAGAAAGTGCCCAGGAAACCATCAGCACACTAAGATTCAGGGTCAGTACACGCGCTGCAGCGCCGTCTACCATCCTAGAGTTGCTTCTGCCTTCGCTAGGGTTTTAGCCAGGGCCATCCTCGACAAACCTCCCCCTGAACAGCCTCGTAAGGTTGGCCTTGAGTCTGTTGCTGTCAACGATGTCCTGATTTCAGGCCAATGGCGCACTGTTTCCTGCTGGGCCTGGGGCCTCCGGGCCCACATAAATGTGCTCGAGACAACCGCTGCTCTGCGTGTCTTTGAGAAAGTTGCCAGGCTTGGGGGAGATTGCAAACTCAACTTGCTCCTGGACTCTTCTGTGGCCAGAGGAGCCATCGCGAAAGGGCGGTCGAGCTCTAAGTTGCTTCGCCCGGTACTTCTCAAAATAGGGGCCGTCACTATCGCTGCCGGCATCTTCCCTGGGCTGCACCACGCCCCCACTCGCCTCAACACAGCAGATGACCCTACGAGGGACCGACCTGTGCGAGCCCCTGCGGATTGCTCGGTCCTCGCGCTTTGTCCACGTGAAGAGGTCTTCAGGCTGACAGGCTGCTGCAAGCTTTCTTCAGCCTCCTCCGGCTGGCTGCGCCTCGCTCTGCTTCTCTCGTTTAGGTTCTCCAAAGCGCAGGGGGTTGATCTTCTTAGAGTTCTGGGCCAGCCCTTTAGGATCCTCTTCCCCCCTAAGGTTGCCCCTAGTCCTCCTGATACCCACGTCAGTGACGCCTCGCATGGGCCGGGAAAGTTTTTCGATGCCTCGAAGGGCTATCCTGGGGAGGGCCCTGTCGCGCCGAGAAATTCCAAGGACCGGGACAGGCAGGCAGCCAGGGTCGCACAGGTCCTTCCCGAAGGCAGGCCCGTCCTTGAAAGGGCCAGGCAGAACCGCAGTGCGCTCCTTGCTCTCTTGAAAGCTTGGATCGAAGAAAAAGGTGCTGACTGGGAGACTTTCTGCAGAGCTCCGGCTGAGGATGTCTCAAAATGGCTTGCTGCATATGGGGCGAGAACTCTTTGATGGGGGTCGGCCATACTGGCACTACTCCGAATCCATAAATGCTGTTTCGGCCGCCCGTCCGGCCATACGGCGCCAGATGCAGGGCGCCTGGGACGTAGCCTTTGGTTGGATGTCGGTTGAGCCACACACCCACCATGTTGCTATGCCAGCTGTGATCTTGATCGCTGTCCTTGCAGTCTGCTTGCTTTGGGGCTGGAGGACGGAAGCGGGCATCTTTGCTTTAAGCTGGGGTGCTCTGTTGAGGATAGGGGAGGCTGCCGGTGCCGTCAGAAGCGACCTTGTCTTGCCGCGCGACGTTTTGTGGTCGCAGCGCTACATCCTCTTAAAGATAAAGGAGCCAAAGACCAGGTTTAGGGCAGCGAGACATCAGGCTGCCAAGCTCGAGATGACAGACCTCGTCAAGCTCGTTGACCTGGCTTTCTCATCTCTTCCTCCTCAAGCTCACTTGTGGCCTTTTTCAACGCAGACCCTACGACGACGACTCGATGCAATTCTTGAAAGACTGCACATCCCGACAGCCAGAACTGTTTCGAGGCCCTTAGACCTCGGTTCCTTTCGGCCGGGCGGGGCAACTTACGCCCTGCAGCTGACGGAAGACGCCGAGCTTGTGCGTAGACGTGGGAGATGGATTAGCCACAAGGTCATGGAGATATACTTACAGGAGATTGTCGCTGCGACTTTCTTCCCGAACCTGCCTCTACCCACCAGACAGTTGATCATGGCTACAGCCGCTTGCTTCCCCGCGCTGCTGCAGAAGGCCGAGGCATGGACAAAGGGACGTGTGCCCACATCGGTGTGGTACAACCTCATGTCAGTTTGAGCCTTGCCACTTGCAATGGTGAGTACACTGGGGTGGACTGGGAGATACGGGTGATCTTTTCTGTTGCAAAGCTTCCTCTTGTACATGCTTTCGTACCAGGGATGCTCTTATCCAGTGCCAGACGAGAATACCTGGCCAGCTTCGTCTTTGCAAGTGGACACCGCTTCGGTGCGCAGAGCCAAAGAGAAGTCCGAGCTTCTGCTTCTTAGAAGCGAGTGATGTATCGCGGTGATGCTGCTCAAGCAAACCCTCCCAGCCCGCCCAGCTTAAGCTGCATGGGTGATCTTTTCTTTTGCAAAGCTTCCTCTTGTACATGCTTTCGTACCAGGGATGCTCTTATCCAGTGCCAGACGAGAATACCTGGCCAGCTTCGTCTTTGCAAGTGGACACCGCTTCGGTGCGCAGAGCCAAAGAGAAGTCCGAGCTTCTGCTTCTTAGAAGCGAGTGATGTATCGCGGTGATGCTGCTCAAGCAAACCCTCCCAGCCCGCCCAGCTTAAGCTGCATGGGTGATCTTTTCTTTTGCAAAGCTTCCTCTTGTACATGCTTTCGTACCAGGGATGCTCTTATCCAGTGCCAGACGAGAATACCTGGCCAGCTTCGTCTTTGCAAGTGGACACCGCTTCGGTGCGCAGAGCCAAAGAGAAGTCCGAGCTTCTGTCTTGTGACCCTCGTCTACGGGCTTTAAGGTAGCGCGTTAAGCTGCCAAGGATGCTTTTAGGAATCTGGGGTTTGGGGTTTAGGGTTTGGGGTTTAGGGTTTAGGGTTTAGGATTTGGGGTTCAGGGATTATAGGGCTGGAGGATTAAGGGGTATAAGGAGGGACCCCTGAGTCTTCTTCCCCTCAATAACCCCTGCATATACCTTACACAATCCCTAAAAACCTAAGTAGCCCTGACCCCTAAACCCGAAACCCTAAACCCAAAAACCTAAGTAGCCCCCCAAATAACCCCCAAGGTCCCTTCTAAGGGTCCCTCCTTGAGCCCCTTGAGAGGATCAGTCTGTGGTGTCGAAGATGTCGCATCATGTGGCAACCACTACCTAAACCCTAAACCCGAAACCCTAAACCCTAAACCCTAAACCCTAAACCCCAGACCCTAGAACTGACAGAAGCCTTCACCCCCACCCGAAGCGCTTTGGTGCGAAACTTTTTCCTTACTGGTTCTTAGTACGGAATGAGGGAATTCGGTGCCTCCTCTCCCCCTACAGAACCCTTTTATAGAGAAACCCTAAACCCTAAACCCTAAACCCTAATTCCTTCCTGCAAGAGCCAGCAGGTTAACCGGTTCAGGATCGAAACTTGAAACCTCGAAAGCGGCCTGAGCCCAGGATCTAGGGTCTCGGGTTCATGTTTTGGGGTTTAGGGTTTCGGGTTTAGGGTTTGGGGTTTAGGGTCCAGGGTTTGGGGGTTAGGGGTTCAGGGTTGAGGGTTCATCGGCTTGATTTCCCCCAGCCTGGGCAGCTCCCATGCCATTCACGTGAGGGTTCTTTGAGCACTATGGGGGGTCCGAGACAGAAAGGGTTTAGGGCTTGGGGTTAAGGATCCCAAATCCCTTAGTTTGGATGGGCGCTAGCTTGAACCCCTAAGGTTGCACCCTTGGGTTTGGGGACGCTTTAAAGATCCCCTATAGAAGGGCCATCAAGAACCTCTTAGGGGTACATCCTTAGGTTTAGGGTTTAGGGTTTAGGGTTTAGGGTTAGGGTTTAGGGTTTCGGGATAGCGGCGCGAGTCGTAATCCCCCCCCTTGATACTTAGGGTTCCTAGGTAAGGGATCATTGTGTTGGCGGGGATATTTTATACAGGGGGACCCCTCTCCTGGGAAATGCCCATGTGCTCCTTTCCTGCGTGGATGGGATTGCTGGCACGTGAGCGCTGGCAATCTTCCTCTCCAAGTTCTCCGAATTCTTTGTATGTGTTTGAACCGTCTCGGGGGGCGACTGGGACGCAAGCCCTGCTAGAAGCACTGAAATCCCCCCGAGAGTTGTTGGGGGTTATGGGGGTCATATATGGGGGTTATAGGGATTATGGGGTTATAGGGGTTATAGGGTTATAGAGGTTATATAGGGGCTATAGGGATTAAGGGTTTAGGGTGTAGGGCCTTTGGCCCTACACCGGAATCCCCTAATCAGCAGTTGAGGTCCACCCGTCGCCTCCTTACGGGATCCAGACGATCGGTTCTCTAAGTGTTGGTCCCTTTTTTGAGTACCTTAAGAAGTCTTCTTCGGGTCCAGTACCCAAAAAGCGTGAACCCAAACATGCTCGCGTAGTGTTTTTTGTTTAGGCAAACCTCAAGAGAGTTTCGAACGCCTTCGTTTTTCTGGTTCTAAGGGGAGAGTAGACATCTGAGACGACCCCGGAATGGGACCATCATGCAGATGGACTGACCGAGCTGATGTTTTAAGGATTTTTTTAGGCAGGCCCTTGCGCGGGATGTCTCTCATATGATTTGTCCCCTTATTGGGTTTAAGAGGATCTTACGTAGGAATCTTTTTCAGAGGGTTTGTGGGGCCATAACCCTAAACCCTAAACCCTGAACCCTAAACCCTAAACCCTAAACCCCAAACCCCAAACCCTAAACCCTAAACCCTAAACCCTAAACCCTAAGCCCTAAAACGAGGGTTTGTGGAGCCATCCTGGCCTCGAAGACAGGACCTTTGAACCTCCTGAAATCACCGTGGCCTCTGGGACCGGCTGCAGAACTCAGTTTAGGGTTTAGGGTTTAGGGTTTAGGGTTTAGGGGTCTCCCAAAACAACCTAGATAAGCCCCCTAGGCCCTAAACCCTAAACCCTAAACCCTAAACCCCGAAATTCTCCTAAACCCTAAACCCCGAATTCTCCTAAACCCTAAAAACTCCGAAACCCTAGACCCTTCACCCTGAACCCCGTAAGCCTCCCTAAACCCTTCACCCTGAGCCCTAAACCCTAAACCCAGCAGCCCAACGTGTGACACCAGTGCCGGCCCTAAACCCGAAGCCCTCAGCTTTAACACTCGGCCATACTTGGAGGTTCATGGTACTTCTTAACCAATTAGAACTGTATGTATAACTGTACTTACAGCTGTACTTATAACCCTGTTAGGGCACGTAAGGGGCTTACAAGTGCGTTATAAATACAGCTATAATTGGTGGATAACTACTCCTACCATGAGAGCTGGACATCCAGGGTTTAGGTTTTCGGGCTTAGGTTTCAGGGTTTAGCTTCTCCAAAACCTTGAGAAACCCAAGCCTCGAAACCCAAGCCCTAAACCTGAAACCCTAAGCCCTAAGCCCTAAGCCCTAAGCCCTAAACCCTAAACCCTAAACCCTAAACCCTAAACCCTAAGTTTGAAGGCATAAACCTTGAGAAACCCCAACGGCTCCCAGCAAGCAGGAGCTGAACCCTGAGGATTCCGGCACTGAGCACACTGGGATGCAAAGCCCTAAACCCTAAACCCTAAACCCTAAACCCTAAACCCTAAACCCTAAACCCTAAACCCTAAACCCTAAACCCTAAACCCTAAACCCTAAACCCTAAACCCCAACCCTAAACCCTAAACCCCCAGCTGCAGAAACCTGAAAGTTGAGGGTCGTGGCTCGTGTCCCACGGCACAGGACCAACGGTGTCGCCCGGCCAGACTGTTCCTGCACCGGAGTGGCCTGCAGGTACCCGGCGCGCCCCGCAAAAATCGTGCGGAGCCTCATATCCAAAGAGCCCTCTACCCCTTAACATACCCTCAATGTATAAAGGGATCCTCAGTACGATTCGAGGTAGATTCCTTACTTAAGGGGTATTGGGCTCTTGGGTACCAGCCGCGATGCTTACCTGCATGGCAGCCCAGTGGAAGGAGCTTGTGACAAATTCTGGCTTTCTGTGGAGCCGGAAGCAGTCAAGATGCTTTCGTAACCCGCTCCTGCACAGCTCTGATGGCCGCGCGTCCTAAACCCTAAACCCTAAACCCTAACCCTAAACCCTAACCCTAAACCCTAAACCCCAAACCCCCCTTTAGGGTTTGGTGTGTCGCGTTGGGGGTGTTGAGGAAAGAGACGTGGGTTGTCGCACCACGAGCGCGAAACCGTGAACTCATAGACCTTCAGTTGACAAGGGAGTCGGAAGTCCCTAAAGCCTGTTTCCTGTTTGGGGTTTGGGGTTTAGGGTTTAGGGTTTTAGAGTTTGGGGTTTAGGGTTTAGGGTTTAGGGTGCTTGTCCGGAGACTGCTTGCAGAACCCGGGAAGTCGGGGGAGCTACGTCCCACTCACGAAACCAAGCAAACGAAGCCAGAGACACAAACCCAAGGGTTTAGGGGTTTAGGGTTTAGGGTTTAGGGAAGCTTTATCCCTGCAGCCTGTAAACACTAGTTGGAATAGGCGGTTGAGTTTGAGGTCAGATTGGCGACCCACCCAGTTTGCTAGGCCACAGAGATTCTCACATGTGACGACCTGCGCGGAAAACAGACAGGCAGGGTCGGAGGTTTGGGCTTCTGGGGTTTGTAATGTCGGGTGAGTTCCATGAGCCTGCCCACCAAGATGCATAGCCCGAGGCTTTAAACCCAAAGCTCTTTGGCAAGCCCTTGAGGCAGGGTTCAGGGTTTAGGGTTTAGGGTTTAGGGTTTAGGGTTTAGGGTTTAGGGTTTAGGGTTTAGGGTTTAGGGTTTAGGGTTTAGGGATTAGGGTTGGGGGCTAGGACAACGCAACTTTGTATGAGGAAGAGTCGACGATTTTTTGGGTGAGACTTGGGAGTTGAGAATGTTCTTGGAGGTTTTCAATGTCCCTCCCATCTGCTTCGTCCTGACCCTGAAGTCTGAGCCGATCCTCGGCGTCGGAAATCCTGAGCTCCCCTAAACCCTAAACCCTAAACCCTAAACCCTAAACCCTAAACCCTAAACCCTACACCCTAAACCCTAAACCCTAAACCCTGAACCCTGAACCCTGAACCCTAAACCCTAAACCCAGGCATGCTCTGGTTGCTACGTTTCCATCTTTGCTATGGCATCTTTTGAGGATGAGGTGAACCTAAAGACTGGGA